GGAAGGATGCAAAGGAAGGAAGCAGTCAAGTCGGGATGGCGGGATCTGGGATGCCCGCCTGGCAAGAGACCTGAGGCAGGGTCCCCTGGGCTCTGGCCCCTGCTGAGTGGTGCCACCACCCCCTGTCTCTGGGTATTCCCGACTCATGTTGGACTATGGGCTCATGGTGAGCAGAGCCAGGCACATTCCTCCCGACCACAGGAGGAGCAGAATGTCTTCCCCCTTGGACCCCGTCACCTGCACGCAGTAGCCACGTGTGTGTCAGAACTTTCCCTGTGGCCAAAGGCCAGTGGCCGAGAGGTTCACTGCAGGCCTCCAATTCACCTGCTCTGCTGCGGTCCCCCCTGTGGCTCCTCCGGGCCCCCTTCTTGGCCCACTAGTGGCCACTCACCTGAAACACACCGTGTGATGATGTTCACCACCCAACAGGGAAAACATTGATGCTGACAATCAGGACGCCATCCAGGGCAAGTGTCGCCGTGCCTGGCCGGGGCTTGGCCTGATGGTTCCTGCAGGGGCGAGCGCTGCTCATCACCCCGTCCATTCTGGGAAGAAGCGGGTTGCTTCCCTTGGTGATATCTTTTTAATATTCATTTCACTGGACACCAATCTGCGATGAAAGAAAACAATCTTAACGAACATTGGGCTAAATCTAAATCTGCAGCCGCCCATGAAGTCACCACCCTGGGACACAGAGGCAGGAGGAAGCTCCAGAGCATCACTCCCCACCGGGAAGCAGGAGGGGCCTCCAACCTGGAGGCCGCCAGCAGCAGAGACGCAGCCTCTCCACCCGGGTTCTCCACTCAGCACCCCGTGGACAGGGACGGCACAGTCCAGTGACTGCCCTGTGACCATCCATCCCTAAGATGGTAAGGGTCCTGGAGGTCACAGGGGATCACATTCTCATGCGCTTGTTCACTTACCTGTGAATGGAAAACTGGACGAACTGCAACTGGCAACTCCAAAAATGTGCCCATAACCACCATCTCAATGGATAGAACCCTTTATACCATGCTGATCCTGAGGTCCCAAATTGGTCAGCCAAAGAAAAATGCAGCTTGTCGTCGTCTTCTCTGAATGGCTAAACACTCTCGGTGCAAAGGAACGGAATAATCTGGACTTTATGGGCTACATCCTCTCTGTTGTGGCCACCTATCTCTGCTGCTCGGATGCAAATACAGCTGCAAACAATGAGTCCACCACACGCATGTCGGCGTTTGCACTGAATCTCTATCTGCTAAGCAGAACTGAGCTGCGGGCCGCAGTTTTCTGGCCACTAGTCTAAAGTGTCATTTCCTAAAGTGTGAGGCATAGATCCTTAGCCATTCAAGATGTCCTTGACCAATAAACGACTCTCTAGGCGAGGAAACTGAGAAATGCTTTGTATTTGGCGGTGGATATTTCTCATGCACGTTAGTGAATCCTGTTGCAAAGAAACTGCTGATACCAGATTTATCCCCAACTGACCTGACTTTCCTTTGCACCTGCCCCTTGTGCCTGCCCGAAGGACTCTTGCTTCAGGAGATACTGTCCTTTGTGTGTGTTTATCTGTGGGTCCTGAGATGCAAATACACTTTGCTCGGAAAGCCCTCTGTGAGCTATCACGCCAGGGGATAGACTTGGAGCCTGGGAAGTCGAAAGATTCAGCAGGGGAATCATTAAAGCCATCAGCAATTGATAGAAATACCTTGTCTTAATGGGTTGAAGACTCACCCAGCCTGTGCCTTGATGGGGGGACACTCGGAGTGAACACAGAGACCCGAGCCTTGGGTCTTCATTTTTTTCTTTAATTAGCTTGGTTGTGGGGAGCTGCTTCACTTTCCCGAGCTTCATCTGCAAAATCACTTTCCTTGGTTGAAAAAGGAAGAGATTCATTTGGTGCCATCCTGACTTGTGTACAGACCCTAACAGAACATCCCTGAGGGTTTTGTCGTTCCCTTGTTACTGCTTTAACTCTAGGGTCCTTTGAGGAGAGACCGACGGCAGGGACAGACGCACAGAAAAGAGGGTTTACACTTCCTTCACCGTGGACTTCCTTTCGCCTTCTGATTGTGTGAGAACAGACTTGGCTAGATTCGGTTTCTGAATCTGGAAGCACAGGGGTCATGCCCCAGGAAGAGGAAGACAAGCTCAGCCCACGGCCATCCATCCTCCCCGGGATCCATCATAGGCCTGGCAACAGGATGACAAGTCCTGGTGGGAACCTTGGATCCACATCGGCCCCCCGTGGGACCTTGCGCAGTCTACCTGTCCTGCCTCTCCTGGCCTCGGACCCCAGTGCCCCATGGGAAAACAGGAGGCCCCAGGGCACTTCATCAGTGCAGTGATGAGCAGAGAACAGCTCCATCCAGGTGGTCACCTCCGCCATCTCTACGGCTGCTGCGTACGTATCGAAGGTGAAACACTTAGGAGATGAATGTGAGGCACGAACACCACGGGCCAAGCCGTGGAAGAACCAGACATGGGCTCCATAAGGCTGCCCGGGCAGCCAGGCCTCTCCTCTGCAGACCGGGAATGCTCTCGGGCCCCTTTAACTCAGAGACGTGTTGAGAGAGACTTGTAGTTTCCCCCACACTATTAAATGTGTTTGACATATCATTATACTTAAATATGACAGTGACGATGCTACTAATGGGACATGGCTCACGTTGGAACAGGGAGACACCCTCGATTTCTGCACAGAAAATAAGCTAGAAATGGCAGAGCAGTCTCTCTCTTCAAAGGGGAGGAAGAAATTGGCCTTAAATCCAAAAGTTCCCATAGAGTATTAAAAAAAAAAATGCCTTTGCTTTCTTGAAAATTTATCCAATTGAATTTCCTTTCAAAAGAGAACTGAATGATGCCTTCGTTTCTGTTAGCCCATGCTTCATAAATACCATCTCTGCCCAGTGTACCACGCACATCATTTATTCAGCAGATATCATAATGTATTCAGGGCCGCTCTTAGGCAGAGAAATTTCAATATTAGATAAAAATAGTGAGATGGCAGCGGTAACTGTGTTTGTCTGGTACACAGAGTAAATAGGATTGTTAGCGATTGCTAAAGGCTTCGGGGAAAGATAGGGAAGCAAAGATAGCTCATGCCAGACTTGGAGCCAAGCAGGTGCAGAGGTGCGAGAGAGCTTGATTACCTTCTGCCACCGTGCACTTCTGAGCAGGCCCGGAGACGGGCCTCTCGCTTCTATCTTCTCATAAGAATGGCTGAATGTTATCCTAATTAGAAATCTGCTCAGATTTGGAAACAGGCTGGTTGTCTCTCCCCATCCCTCCCTCCTCCCCACCGGGCTCCGTCTCCCTCTGTCACACACAAACACACACACACACACACACACACACACACGTGTGCGCGCACGCACGCAGTCATGCATTCATGACGCTCTGTGTCACAGCCAAAGGTCTTTTCTGAGTCCTGACCCTCAAGCTGGCCTGGTTTGGGCCCTCACCCCTCTGAACAGTCACCCCATCTGCAGGGGAGGGCCTGGGCTCTGTCTTCTCCCTCGAGTCTTCCACTGGTCAGAGCTGACCCCACCCCCACCCCACTGAACAGTAGCAGTGCCTGGGTCTTCTCGTTTTCCTTACAATTCACTCAACCTCAGAACACCCTAGCTCCTGGTCCTGGGCCGTATCCATCTCTCAGCTGGATGAGGAATCTCTCCATCTGACAGCAGTGGAACCCAAGGAGGCAAAGGGCATCTCAGTGACTGGCTCAAGGTCACATCTTAGAAGCTGCCCAGCCACAGTTCCTCCTGGACCAGGTGGTTCCAAAGTGCAGAGCAGAGGTGCAGAGGGGCAGTGCTTCATCTCCCCCTCCAGAGGTGTCACAGCTGTGCCTTCTGTGTCTTCTCCGACCTGTCTATGCACACATGCCCACCCCTGGGCACAACACTGCCTGGCACCATGCAGAACTGAGAAGTGGAGACACATCCTGTCCTGTCAATGGGAACCCAAAGAAGGGGCTGGAAAGGCCTGCCCAGGGCAGGAAGAGGGCACCATCAAGGAGAAAGGCTCTGCAGAAGAGTAGGCCAGCAGGTGCCCAGCGTCAGGGTGACCTCCAGTGATGACAGGGACAGAGCTGCTCCTGGAGGACATATTTGCAATGGACCTCGAAGGGAGGTGGGAACGTAGACAGGAGGCAGCGGAGGCAAGGCCGGAGAGCAGGGCAGGGCGGTGAGGGGCAGGGCCGAGCTGGACACAGCTTCCTGCAAGGGAAGGGAGTCCAGGAGCAGATGACCTGGACCTCCATGCCGTTCTGTGTTTGACAAGGCTGAGTGCCCGGGCAGTGGCCTTGGGAAGTCTGGTTGAGAGGCTGAAGAGCATGCAGGTGACCATCAAGGCCAGAGGCCCCAACTCTAACTAACTGAGCCCTACCAAAGCTTTGCAGTGCGACCCTTCATGATGTGGAGCTGGACCACCTGGATCAATATGGAAGTCAGGGTGTGGCTGGCATTCCCTGTGCACAGCCACCGGTCTCTTCCTCTTTGCTCCTCCTCCTGGGCCCGTCCATGGGAGGAGCAGAGCACGTGGGAAAGCAGCAGCTGGGGACCGGAACCCACTCCAGCAGCCATTGTTTCTGCCTCCGTGAGAACCCGCCTGTTTCTGTGCCCACCAGTAACAGTTTTTGCCTTGTTGTTTTCTCAAGCATCCTGACAGTTTCAGACCTGGGAAGCATGACTCAGTCCTAGTGGGGGCTCAGTTTGAATCTCTTGAATGAAGAGAAGGAAATTACAGACGTAGGAAGATCCTTTCATCTCTCTTTATCTGCTCTGTTCTCCCGCCCTCGGAACCAGGCTGCACGCGGCAGGCCAGCAGGGGCCCACAGGCATCCTTCCCTTGCCCTGGCCTCCTGGAGAGCCGCCTCCTCTGGTGTGGGCTGGACACCTTCCTCTGCCTATTCCTACTCAGCCCCCGCTATTTCTGCAAGGCCAGCTTCCTAATTCCCATGGACAGATGAGAGAGCTGAATTCAGAATCACTACACAGGGCTGAGAATTGGGTTTAAAAAAAAAAAAAAAGAGAGAGAGAGAAATAAAGCAGACACACAAGTACCCGCCGACGGCATGGGTTTGGCAAAGAGGGCATGACCTCTATTTAGCAGGGGACTGTCTCTTTAGTAATTAGTGCAGGGGTCAGCTCAGTCTTCCAGAGCCTCAGTTTTCTCGTCTACACAGTGGGACAAATGGGAGCCGGAGCACCAGATACTGTTCAGAGTTAGGTGCTCACACACTCTGCCCAGCACCCTCGCCGGCTCCCCAGGTGCCCTCCACAGGCATGTGTGCCCACTGTGTTCCAAATGATGTCTTTTTTTTTTTTTTAACTCTGCATTTTTTTCTTCCATCTCTGCTTCTTAGGAGAGTTGACTAAAAGGGACAGTGAACTGGAAAGGGAAAACATGTCAACATGCCGAGAATTCTGAAAATACATCTCTCCAAAAGGTGCAGCCTGGTCCTGGCAAGATGACAAGGGCCCCTGGGGCCACCTGGTGCAGACACAGCGCTGCACAATCCCGCGAGGCTCGAGCGCTCGGTAAGTCGACGGGCTCCGAGTGCCAAGCGCGAAGCAAGTGCTTCTAAACAGACGACGATGACCAGGACGAGAAGCTCAGGATCGGGCCAAGGGAGCGTGGGGGGGTTCTAGATGGAGATGCCGGTGCGGGGTTCATCTTTTTCAGCCGAGGACACCCCCACCAGACCCCTCTCCCTGCCAGGTCCAGGGCCAGGGCACCCCACCATTCAGAAACCGCAGCAGCTCCATTCCTCACGTCCAGCCCCTGGGCTGTGGAACATCGGGGACCCCCGCCCCATCGACTTCATAAACATAACTAATAATTTCGCTCGGCCCAAGACGAGCCCACAGGCTCAACACCAAGAGCAACTTAAACAAAACGGGTCATAAAAACCCCCTTCTTATGCCTGCGCTGGATGCCGTCGTTAAAGAAGAGAAGGGATGACAAAGTGAAAAGGAGAAGGCTGCCGTTCTTTTATGTGAAGATTACGTTTAAAAATAACCGACGAACCGTCTGCACTTTTCGGGGCCTGACGTCTCGAAGCGCATTTAGATTGATGCAGACGGGGGCTGAAGTTCCCGCGCCGAGTAAACAGTCAAGTGTTCTTAATAGGAATTGCAGTTTTTCGACATCTGTTAGGGAAAAGGGAATGGCGAAACAACAATTTAGAGTGAGATTGGTTTTGTTAAATGCATTTAAATTCCAAGATTAGTGGTGTTCTTTCTTTTTCAATTAGCATTCACTTGGAGAAAGGTTACAGATGAAGGGGCTGGGGAAGACAGGCTGGAATGTTCTCCTCCCTGAGAGGGCACTCCAAAGCACAGTAAAACTGAAATAGGGAGAAAAATGCAGAGGGAAAGGAACTTAGCCCCCGTGCCAAGCCCGGGCTGCAAAATCTTGCAGGGAAAGCATTAAAAAAATAATAATAAAATAAAAATAAAATAAAGTTGCGTCTGGATTTGATGATCCTTTTCTCTAGGCAGCAAAATCATGAATTGCTTTGAGGGGGAAGAAAAAAAAAACATGAAGATTTGCATTTTCCAAGCCAGTTACTAAGCAAAATTTGTGTTATTTCTCAAATACATGCCACGGCTCTGTTTGAGTGTGTAAAGAGCTGAAACTAGCTCAATTTTTTTAGGGTTTTTTTTTTTTTTTGATAGAAACATAAACAGAGACAAAAAAAATGTAGGGAATGTTTCACCTGTTTTACTGCCATTAAATAAACCTCATCTGCTACCAAGCTGTTTTGGGTGACATTTGTTAAATAAATACATTTTGTGGGAGGCTGGAACTCTGAAGTACCGAGACACGAAGCCAATGTTCTCAGATAATTCAGTTTGCTTCCTGGTGCCCTTACCCCTGCCCCAAGGGGAAAGAGAACGCTAAATTCAGATTTATCCTCTCACACCCGTGCTTTATATTCAAACTTACACAGCTATGACAAAAAGTGCATCTATTGTCACTAAAGCTCCTTTCCATTCTCTCTCTGCTCCCTTTCCCTGTTCTCCTCTTTCTCTTTCTGTCCCTCCACAAGATATCTTCACCCCCTCACCACCAATTTTTGTGATTAGGAACAAATCCACTTTTGTTGACCCTTCTGTAGGGGTTCCATTCGTAACGCTATTAATGTACATATTTTGTGCATGCCTGTGGCCTTTAAAGTATGTCCACTCTTCAAGATCACTTGAAAATATGCACACTGAGAATTCGTTTAATGTAAAGCCAGTAGTACCATTTCTAATTGGAAAGCTAATAAATCAGTTTTTAAAATAACATGAACCCAGACAGTTCTTTAAAGTCTCTCTGTGGACACTTTAGAAGGCACCCAAATGGATTCCTGTTGAGCATGATTTCCTGTGTGCAGGGTCTTTGCGATTTTGCAGAGATCCTAACTGGAAAAAATGGAGCAGTTTTAAACACAGGGCACTGTGACTGCAGAGGCTACACAACTGCATGGAGCTCTTTTCAGTCCCGGCAAACAGAGAACCCACTTATAACTAAAGAAGTCTATATACAGTTCTAGAACATTCTGCAGCCAGACTTGGTGCACTGGGGTGCCTCCGTAGGCAGGGTTCTGCTGGCTTCTGTTGGCTTCCTCTGAGAAATTTCCTATGCTGATTCCTTTCAATTATCTGTCAATTTTCAAAATGCAAATAGAAACAAGCCGACACCGCTTTGGTCCTCACCAACTGATTTCTTCCAAGCACCCAGACCATAAGCAAATGCAGTTCAATATGTTCTCTTCCCTTTTTTTAAGTGGAATTAATATTACTGAGCAGATTTTGGTCAGCTTCCAGGAACCTAGTGTGTGGAGAGGCAGAATTTTATTTTAGAAGCACAAGTTGGTTTGAAAAATGTGAACTTAGCCCAACTCTTTCTTTGTTTCATCTTTCTTGCTAGACATGATTTATTTTTCTTAAAAAAATAAATCCTTCATGGACGCACACTTGAGCACACACACACAATTTATGCCAAATTACAATTGCTACTTAGGATTTTTTAAAATTATTTTTTAACACAAAATGGTATAAAAAAGAAAACAGCAGCCTGCTGTCTCAAGATCAGAAGTAACCACTGAGGAATGGCATGTATACCGGGGCACGGCATACCCCCTGGCCCTGCGCGTCTTAGGGTAGAGATCCTGCCACTCGCAGGACTCTGCATTCTGCACTTTGTCTTTATTTTCATCAATAAGTATTTTCTTTCCATCACTGACACCTCTTTATTAACATAAGATAGGTTAGGTATTTTACAAAATTTTACAGAATCATTCACCTATTGGGGGCTTTTGTAGTTTCCACTGTTTTTTTTTTTTTCTTTGTGATTTCAGGTAATGCTTAAATAAACCAATTGATGTAAAATAGCTATCTACATTGGATTACTTGCTCAGAATGGGTTCCTGGAAATAGAATTACTAAGTCAAAGGATCCCAACATATTTAATGTTCCCGACATACATTGGCAAATTGCCCTCCGTAAAAATTATACCAATTTACCCTCCTGCAACTGGCATATCAGACTGCCTGCTTACAGCATCTCCCTGCTCCAAGATCTTTTTTGAATCTCTGCAAATTCAAAAAGATTTAAAAAAAAAATGATAACTTTTGCCTGGAACAATTTGTTAAGACATGCATTGAGCAATAGATTCATTTTTAAAAATAGCTTAATTCATAAAGAAATACAAAAGCTTATATCTAGGATGTTTTCTGACCCATAAATATTACAAAGCCATAATGCTTCATCATACATAGTAGATATTGGGTTAGAAATCCTAGTACATTTTGCATATGCTAGAGAGGTTTTTCCAGTTCAGAAAGCATCAGTAGAACAGAGGCAGTCTTAATTTATCGCATGCCGTTTAAGGCAGCTCACACAGACTGCAGGGCAGGGGACACCTGGAAGAGTGGACTTCTGATTGCTCCCATCACCAGGTGTGGTGCCAGACCAAAGGAGAAGTGCCCTCAGTCTTTGCATAGACCTTTCAAGTTCAAGGGGAAAAGGACAGACCCTGCTGAAAAGTCCCCCAAACCTGACAACAGAAAGAGAAAACCGAAGAAGAGCCCTGTCAGGCCAAAGACAACCCAGGAGGCACGGAGAAGCACGGTCGTGCTCCCACAGTCTGAGGTTCAAGAAGAGAAGGCGCAGAGGATATGCTGCTTTGTCTAAATGTGCTCTCCCTTGGGCTTTGCTTTTTCTGAGTTAATGAAGTCAATTTCATTCCTTGACAATTTTCTGGTAGACATTTGAGTTTTCTCAGAGTCGGCCTAGGACAAATCCTAAAGATCTCAGAATCGCCCTAATGACCGGAGGTGGATTTCCAGGGCCACGTGCAGAGGCCACTCCCGACTGGGCACCAACCACAGTGTCTCCCTGCAGACGCCCCTCCTCGTGGCAGGATCTATCAGAAGTTGCCACAGTTCACAGTTAAGGACGCGTCCCTGCACAGCTAATTATTCAAAAATCAAAATGCCAGGGTGGGGAGCAAGGAAGAGAAAGAAAGAAAGCAAAGATCCACCAACTCCAGGATGCTCCCCCCCCCGTCCCCAAATCCTCAATTCCCTGAACTGTCAGCTTTTTCACAAACCTGAGCACACCCTTCCTTCCTTCCGAGAGGGTGGCATTTCTCATTGTAAGAATATTCCTTCTAGTGATCCATTCCCACTTAATGAAGTGCTCCCTAAATTAAATCTACCCTTTCTGAAAGGTTACTCCCCAAACAAAATGAACCAGGAAATGCCTGCAGTCCATATAAATGTCATCCTGCCCTCCAGTAAATCTGTTTTAATCACTGTCTTTAAGGAGGCCGCCCCATCGAATGGGAGAAAAACTCAATTATCCTGCGAAGGGAGACAACTGTCAGAAGGGGTCACGACAGCATCTTCCTCTGGAGAGAGGCTAGACACCCTGCTCCACACATGCTTTGCCCTTTTCCTGTGTTCTCACCAGAGCCATGTCCCACTGGTGAAAGGAAGAGGAGGACACGGGTGTCGATGGAGCCTGTCCTGTGTCGAGGGTCTCATGTATGTTTTCTCTTAATTCCTTACCACAAGATGATCAAAGATCGGATTCCCTTCTCTGCACAGAGACACAGATGGAGTGCGTCCCAGAGGAGCTAGTCCACGGTGAAGCGGTGCTCCCTCAATTCTAATGAGCTCCAAAAATCCCCTACCTGAGGGACAGTAGCTCTGTTTCACCAGAGGTCTACAAGCGCATTTTAAAGAAATAGTCAAGAGTTGGGCAAAACCTGCCTCCTTATTAGAAGCCAGTCCTTCAGCAGAGTTCCAGGGGCTTCCAGAGGTGGGTGAAACACGGGTCTCAGGCAGGCTGACCCCACACCACCATTTAAAGGTCAACCCAACAGGGCTGTCCGTAACCAATCCAGAGAGTTCTTCATGGAAAGTGATGAGCAGGGGGCACCTCTGGATGCCGATTCCAAGCAGGCGTGGCCTGGGACTGGGTTTCTGCAGAGGCGTGCGTAAGCTGCGCAAAACTAATGAGCAGAGGCAGGCCTCGGTGCTTATGTTTTTTGGAATTAAGTTGCATGACTGTGCCTCGCTCTCTAAAATGTGTAAATGTGTAAATTATGCTAAAACAGATTGCCAAGGCTAGCTGAAGAAATGAGAAATATGGTGCACTCTCACGGTGAGGGTGCAAGGGTGCAGGCGGTGGGGCTTGCGCCTGACGTCAAAGGCAGGCTCCAGCTCTCCACTCCTGGGGGTTCTGGAAGCGACGATTGGGAAGGAGTAGCGAAAGGAAAAGAAGCTAGTTGGTCTTTTCACGAATTCCACCACAGCTAAGCACTATCTCTTTTACTGGCACAAAAGAGATTATGCAAATTATGCACATTACCCAAGTCCTGTTCCCAAGCCATATTTAATTTCTCCAATTCACCACATCCTAAAAGAAATGCCATAGTCCCATGCCAAGTCTTGATCCTAAAGATGTCCAAGAAGAAAAAGATAGAGGGGGAAAAAATGCTCCTGTGATCTCTCCACAACTCCATATCTGCCATCCCTCACACCGGGGGAGGGTGTGTGCACAGTTGTGTGTGTGGGTGTGTGCAGTTATGTTTGTGCACATTTGTGTCGTGCAGTTTTGTCTTCATGGGATTCATTTTAAAGTTGCTTCTGGTTTTTGTGAAAGGAAGGCCAATTCCCATCAGGGGACAATAGCATGAAGCCACGAGACGACACCTTCCTTCAAGGAAAAGGGAATGCGGTCATTTTTGTGGCCTAAGATTCTCTCATAAAATTTTCATTTTATGAAATTATATGAAAATGACATTAGGCCAATAATGACTTTGTGAGTCACCAAGGCCAAACACTATCTGTTATTGATGAGGAACCTACTGAAAGATACCCAGGGTCCCATCTACTCATTGTGGGAATAAGAGAACTGAAAAGGCCCAGGAACCTCCCAGAACACACAGCAAGAGCCTGCTAGACTGCAGCCGGCACCCCTGCCAGCCCCTGACCCCGTGTCCTCCGCACAGGCTGTTATCTGGAGATTCAACCACATACTTCTGCAAACTGAGACCACATTTCCTCAGCATTCCAAAATGCTCCCAGACTGAGTTAAGACTCTACTTTTCAATTAAATGGGTAAGGAACATTGCAAATTCTCCTCAAGGTCACCGGATGCACAATAAAAAGGGAGAAATGTAGATACCGCATTCAAAGGCAGGTTTTCGCAACTGAGTCAAGAGGCAGCAACTTGTTTCCGTAGAAACTCATCAACACACGCAGGCCTGTCTCATTGGGAGGGAGGTCTGAGCCAGGAAGGCTGAAAATAGTGATGTCTAATTGCGGACAAAGATTCCGGGTGGTGTCAGGAGCCCTCCAGATTTGCAATTTCCATTCTTCTGCTTCTCCCTCCCTTCCTTGTCTATTGTTCCCTCTCCTCTCCTTTTATCTGCCATGATGAGAAAGAGACAAAGACACAGAGGTGACGTGATGAATTGTCAGTGCCCTGAAGATTTCCCCCCCCCTCTACTTTTAATACAGAACACTGTCTGTCTTGCAGAGAGTGATCACGGATTCACGAAATTAACCGATATGTCTGGTTCAATTCTTAAAATAATTGGGCCTTACAGAAGAAGAAGAACAAGTTTGTTTGCGCTGGTTACTCTGGGGCCTGCATGACGTTAGTGACTTGAGTCCGGAAGGCCCATTTATTGGTCATAGATACAGTGCAAAGCAAGACCTGGGATCACTGTGTTTATATTAAAATATAGCATCGCCTGTTGACACACAGGGTAGGAAGGCAGCTAACAGGGGCAATGCCACTCCTGGTTTTGTGAAGAATTCTCCCAGCAGTGCTGGAGGGGGCTCAGAGCAAGTCAATAAAGATGACCTATGACACCTAAGGAGACCACGGGCCAGCAATACCATCTTCCCCTTCCTAAGCTGGTGATGCATGACCCAGGATCTGTCATGCTTCCAGACTCTGGAAATTATCTGGAAACTTTGAAAGAGCCTCCAAGTGGATGCGACCTTAAGTTACCATCACTTACAAATAAATATAATTATGATATGAAAATGATTCGTCTCCACATCTGTTTAACAGCTATTCAGAAACTCCCTTGAGATCAAAGAGTATGGCTTTTGCCTTGATTTCTTCTTTAAAAGGTTCTATATTCTCATCACCTTGCACATTGCCTGCCCTTTAATAAGCATTTAACAAATATTAGGTAAATAAACGAATTCCACCAAACATCAATCAAATGGAAAAAGACTAGTTTTTACGGCCATCAAGTGCTTTGAGCCTCTGATCATGTGCAATCTTTCTCTGCTGTGTTGCTACTTCTATTCTGTAAATTATTTTTTTTTTAATTTGCAAACTCTAAATGTGGTTTTGTTCATCCAACCTTTCAATTTAAACATCAAAAATTAAGACTCAAGTGATAATCATGAAAATCAATGAATTTATTGATAAGTGTGTCCTGTAAGTTCTTTTAGTATTTTATTTTGAATGAAGGTAGGTAACAATAAATAACTCTAGGAAATTATTTTTTTAAGCTATGGGGCACATACTGTGTGGCAGGTGTTGTCCTGAGCATTTTAATATATATCATTTAATAATCCTACCTCTGCATATCATGTCAACGGTATCCCTCCTCCCGACACCTCTCTCCAGAATGAAGGACCACGTCCAAGGTCATCGAGTTGGTGGTGCAACTGGAATTTGAATCCAAGTGTGTCGTTCATGGCAACCGCATATAAATATAAAAATGAAATATTCTCTTAAAAATAACTCAAGATTCTTGAGGATCAATCACGAGTGCACTGTATTTATCCAGACGCTCTGTCAAAGAATGCCATTTATCAGGAAACTACTTCACAAGAACTTTAACAATTTAGTTTCTCAAGTGATTGATTTCAGAGTTGACTCTCATTAGATTCTTGCAGGCTATGTTTAGCAAAATGGATTATGTAATCCATTTTTTGAGCTGAATTTTTATTATCAAATATATTTTCTAGTCAACTCGTCATGATTGAACTTTTTGATGGTTCCAACTTCAAAACTACATCTTACATAATTTTAAAATCTGGTACTAAAAAATACGAGGAGGAACATAAATGAGCATTTCTAGAGGGGTAGAAGGATGCACCCTCTTCCAGTTTTCTCTGGAAGGGTTGAAATATGAGGACCCATACAAAAGAACTGCTCTCACAACCATAAACAGGTGATTTGTCAACAAGGCAGGCTGTATCTTTAGGCCTGCCTCAGTTCTCTCATCTATAAATTGGGAATGATAAAAACACACATCTTTTCAAACTGCTTTTCAAAATTGCCAAGAGTCCCCAGAGGAAATGGTTGTAAAAACAGTTCATGAAGCTCTAAATCAAATGAAATTTCTAGAGCACTTCTGCTGTTGTAGGTCAAAACTGCTTTCGGTGTTGGCAGGAACAGGTCTGGTTTGCACTGGGAACCCAGTCACCAGCCATACTCTAAATGAGTCCACTTGTGTCAGTAATTTTGAAGAAGTCAATCAAAAGTATGTGATTACTGATGAGCCACATGCTCTGAATCCATTGTTTGCAATAGTGGAGACTAGTTATTTTTTGCTACTAATCCTGAAAAGTTAAAGGGTCTTTTATTGAAAAATATTATAGTTATTCGCATCCTCATCATTACTTCATAGTGATCAAGACGATCATAATTATGCTCTCATCCCATCTCCTGCTTAAAACACTGTCTACATGGGCCAGAGCCTCACGGGGCCTCTCCATGGTCGGGTGTGCACTCTCCTCACCTGGCCCCTTTCCAGCCAGGGTAATTTCATTCTGCTTACCAAAAACTCCCTGTAGTTTCCCCCCAGAGAGGGTCTCCCTCGCTTCCTGTTCAAAGCCAGCTGTGCTGTGGGGCTGGCAAACAGATGCTACTCTCTACCCTGAAGTGTCTGTCTCTCCTCGTGGGTTCCAGCAAGGATGGGGTATTGCTACAGCCAAGGCTTTGGAGAAAACCAGCAAGTATTTTGCCTTTCCTTTTATATACTCCCTAGTAGATGCTGCAATGTGAGGGCCAACATATTCCTTTATGTTTGCACATTTTAAAGTTAGAAAAAAAAAAAAAACCCTCCGTTATGTAAGATCAAGTACCTCCAGCGGCCACCTCTCGGATCAGGGAACTCATAGTCTACTTGATGCTGATCATTCGTAGTTAAAGATGACCTATTATACCTCCTAATTAGTCACCGAGGTTCCTGCAAGACTCTTCAGTTAGAACCAAAGCAGAGAGGAAAACTGGACTTACATCTGCACTACAATTCTTGCAGAATCGTGTGTGAACGAGAACACAATCCTGTTTACACGACATTTGGTGAAAGGAACCATGTAGATGCTTGTGGCTTCATGCAGGCCTCCATAAAACCCCATGCAGAAGATGAAACATGACACCTGCTTTGTAAGCCATCCAAGACCCCTACCCCCAGTCCATACGCTTCATATGTATGTAATCAACTTTTATTGGTTCTTGAATTACAGTCTGTGAGCACAGAACTCCCCTTTGCCAATCAAAGCACAATAACAGAGCTTGGAAGTGTCATTAATAAAGGGCTTGCGGTTTGAACATAGAGAAATGTTTATAAAACTCCTGCTTCTTTCAGAGTTGATTTTGGTGACAACAAAGATTTAGAGGAAATATTTCACACAAAAGTATGACATCAAAATTAGAACCTTTTTGAACTCCAGTGAGCAGACTTCCTTCCATCCATCCATCCATTCTCTACCCAGTGCTTCCTGTGTGGAAGCCATACTGTGAGCCTACACCAGCTCCATCTGTCTAGGAAAGTGGCCCACCTGTGAGCAGTCAAGACATCAGGAAGTGCTACCATCTGAAACAAAGCACGTGAAGTCAGAGGGCTATTTCTAGAAATACCATATCATGAGCCATCACGGTCCTAACCAGAATTTGCCAACCACATTTGCACATTCAGGTACTCAAGCAAGTTGGTCCGCTTTTACATCTGCACTCAAGCCAACCAAGCCCAAAAAGTCAGATGCATAGTCAACAAAATAATTGATCTAGTTTCAAGGAGAAATTGACCAGCCCGTGAGAAAATGCTCATATCACGTGTAATACTCACTTTTCAAATGTAGGCATACTGGGGCAGCTACGGAGGCCCCAGAATTTTGCTTAGTGAGCAGAGGATCAAGGGCCCAGAGAAAGGTTGGGTGGCTCTGATCTCTGGCCAGGACAGTTGCCCAGGGAAAGTTCTGCTCAGGGTCTGCTTTTCCTGGGACTATTCTGGCAGGTCACGATGCTAACATAGCATATTTGTGTCTTGAGCTGTTCTTTGGTCCCCTGATCACATGTTCCTGATGGGCATGACAAAGCCCACCAGGTGCCCACCTCTTCAGTGATATCCTCATTCATTCCTACTTCTCAGACATCACTGTTGGTCCCCTGGATCGGGGCTTGAGCTGTATCCAAGTTTCAGTGCACATTCACACATAGTTTTCCTTGGTTTGTGCCCACAGAGGGACAGCCCAGTCATTGTGTGTGGATTTGATGACTTAAAGTCTCAGATGAAAACACTGATTCCAAGGCTAGTGACCACGTGTGGTCATCTCAAGGAAGGAGCAAGTTTTTGCCATATCCAGACCTCCTCTGTGGTGCCTAAGCTGAGCCCACACCTGACAGCTGTCTCTCTTTCCCTGTGTTCCGCTCCATCTGTCCTTAGTTTTTAATCCTGCATGTGAGGTGGCAAGCCATTGACGTCTCCCAGGCCTATTTTTTTTTTTTTGCCTTTGATAACTTCTCTGAATGACCTTTCCTCCAAATATGTCTTTTATCTGCCTCTTCCTGACTATTCCCATCAGGTCACTGGGAGTCAGGTACAGGCCACTGAACTACCGTGGACATTTTATTTCCACTGAATCAAGCCTCTGCCTCCATCAAGTCACTCCCCAGCATGAAAATCTTCCCTGAACCCTGCACCCTGCCTGCAGGCTGCCCTGCTCCTTGGCCTGGGCTCCAGACCCTCCGCCGTCTACCCACAAACTACATACAAACACAAAAAGCCTCCCTCAGGGCCGGGAGATGTGGATTCTAATCCACCTCTGCTGGATGGAAGCTTCAGGGAGAAGTGAGTTGCCCCAATCACAAGGCTGTTGGTGGCGGCCTGGGATGTCCATTTGTGGATGAACCTCCTCAGGTTCAGAGATCCCCACCGTCCCTCCCCTCATGGACCAGGGATGTGGCCACTTGAAAAGGAACTTACCCTGTCGTTCCTCTTCCTAGAAAGTTCTTCCCCTGCTGCTTTACATTGTCTGCTTTTGAGAGCCACAGCCGAAGGGGCCCCAGCAAACTTCCAGCTGCCAGCAAACTTCCAGGTGCTGGCTGATGATTGGCTCACA